AACAACAACAACAACAACAACAGCTGTCCCATGTAGATCTAGGCCACATGGACTCTTTAAAGAAGGGGCCAGGCAGTAGACAATCCACTGAAAGCACCCAACTCAACTTTGTTTGGGTGCAGATGATCGACCTGTTAGGTTCCTTTCTATGCTGGCATTTAGTACGGTTCGCTGGGAATTTACTGGTTTATTGGTGGCAACAGTTGTGTTTCATTGTCCTACTACACAAAGGTAGTCCTTCTAGCCCAAAAGACTGACATAGCACGGGGCAGGTATGTGTTGGTTCTGACTCTACTTCATGAGTTGAGTTATCATCCAGTATCATTAGCCTATAGGCCACTAGTGATAAAGAAAGAGAAGCTCAAAGGGATTCAGGCAAATGAGTCACAAAGTGGCCAATGGTCTCAGAGTTTATGACTGCTAGTGGGCTGGATGTAGTACTGGAAGTAGTCTGAGTTAGTTCTGCCCAATAAGAATCTCTGTCAAGCTTTCTGGAGTGTTATTGTACCAAGTCTGTCCTCTCAGGTGTCCTGCCTGGTGTCAGCTCCTCCAAGGTCCTTCTCTGCCAGAGTGTCCGAGGCTGGTTGCTCTGTTGTAAGCCTATTGGAACCACACAGGTCACTGGAATTCATAGGAAAGAGGAGAGATGGAAAGGTGTTGTCTCATAACAGCATGGTCTACAAGAGAAAGGATCTGCTGGACTTTGAGAAGTCTCAGTAATAAACAGACATGAAAAAGAAAGGGTAGCCAGGAGATTAGATGCTGAACTAGGACCTGAGTTCAGAACAGGGGGTGGAGCTAAAGAAGGACATGAATCTCAGAGAGGAATAAGGAAGTTCTCAATGTCCTTACCCTTCAAAGCTGCCAGTTTTCTTGATTATAAGGCAGAAATGTTCCATTCTTCTTCTTCCCAGAGCCTTAGGATGGGCCAGCTTGCCTTTCTCAACCCAGTGGGTCCTCCTTGCTCTCTGCCACATAACACAGGAAGCAAAGCTGAACACTTCATCTGCACATAGAACTGGGAGGCTTGGGTCTCCCACTGAGGGTGTTCTGCCTTAGCCCTGCAGAAGGGCAAGACTCAGAGATACGACAGATAAGAAAGACCTGGTTGACTTGTTGCAAATGCGTTGTGGATGTAGAGTAGGGAAAAGAATATGATTCAGAACACAATTATATTGTAGGTCTGCCTCAATGAAGATTAAAAGCCCAGCAAAGCAAAAAAGAGAAAAGGACAGAATCTCATTCCCTCAAGCCAGAACTCACTAATACCTGATCCTGCCCTGGGCTTTCAGAGGGTATAAATTACACCATAAGTGATTGTTCATCTTTTTTCTTTGGGGCATTTGTTGGATTTGAAACCCCTACATTTGGTTTGGCAGTGCAACTCTTTACCCACTAGGTCTCCAGAGCTCCCTTGTCTAGAATTGCTGTCTGCTAAATATGTAAGTGAATAATGAAGACACAATCATTTCCTTGCAGTTAAGACACATTTATTAAGGTTCTTGCTGTTAAGAGAAGATGATCCAACATAGAGGGGCTCAGGGTGATTCATCCATTTGGAGGCGTTTTATTGTTTTCTTTATCCAGGGTAAGAAACTGGAGATGTTGGTGAAGACATTTGGAGGAATTCCTTCTTCCCTTCCATAGGAGGCTATGCCCTGAGCCACATTGTTGCATACCAAGGGACCTCCAGAGTCTCCCTGGGAACAGAGAGGAAAGGCTGAGTTAACTGTTCTGCTGGTCCTGCCTCCCTCTACATTCTGGGAGAAAACTGCCCCAATGAGGTAAAAAGAGGGGGGTTATAAGCCTCTCTGGGAGCCCCCAGGGTGACAAAATCTGATGTTTGACATCACTGTTGTTTTATGCCTAGATTGTGATCTGTCTCCTTCCCTAACTTTAGGACTCTTGCCTTCTAAGGAGCTGTGGAACTTTGCTTCCAGGGTACTGTTTAAGGAAAGGCAGATGGTTAATGGAAGACAGTACATTGACCAGGGTGATGACAGCTCTTGAGTATTTACATGGTTTTGATTGTTCAACGTGGAGGGAGAGCTTTTCCATGTATGTGTGCTCTAGGTGGGTTGGGCAATCCTTTCTACTTCCCCCACATGAAATAAAAAAAAAGAAAGAAAGAAAGAAAACACCTTCAAACCATTTCTGGACATCTCAGTTAATAGTAATCCTAAATGTTATAGAATCCAACTGCTTTTCTTCTCTATAAAGTTTAGGGAACACCTTTGAGAAGGTTCAAACCACAAATCTTTAAAATACAAGCTGAATGGTAACTCTTCGTGCCTTAGGGTTTTTGAGTTGGCATATTATTGTTGTTGCTTTGCTGTCAAAGCAAAGGAGTCACAAATTCATCTTTCTGGAGGAACACATTTCTGACTTACCCCAGGGAAGCTCACAGAGACCCGAGTGACTAGGTAGTTTGGTACTCTTGTTATCACAGGAAATGGGTGAAGGCATTCCCCCTATTGCTAGCTAGGACCTTTACATCCCAGGTCTTCCTGAATCATCCTTCTCCCCAGAGCAAGGCCAGGCTAATGGTAAATCTCACCTTAAAGAAAGACATCTGTTTCTGAGGGTCTCCCACGCACAACTGAGTTGTCCTGTCATAATACATGTGGTGGCGCTCACACTGGAAGTGCTCTTGAATGATAAGATCCACCTCATGCAGCTTGCTTGTTGTGTCATTCTGAGTGATGTCTCCCCAGCCAGCCACACTGCACACCTGACCAGGCCTCACCTGGTCACTTTCTCCAGGCAGGGGGATCAGGCCCACAGCTGCAGTCAGTTGGGCCTTTGCTGTCAGCTGATGAAGGAAAGAACAAAGTCCTGGTTACTCAAAGCCTGTTGTCCTCCAGACCCAGATGGGTTGCACTTTATCCCTTCTTACTTCCGGGCCTGGGATTAGTGAAGGAGCCAGGATGAGAAAGACAGGGGCCATAGTTGAAGAAGAAAGTTCTTGAACCCAAGGGAGCAGGACAGCAATGGAGTGTGCCTCACCTGTAGTATCATGATGTCATTTCTACCAGACCCATTGTTAAAATTAGGGTGGGGTATCGCTTTTTTCACAGGAATTTCCTGCTGTGTCTTTTCTTGCAACACAATATCATGGGCCCCCAAGATGACATACATGTGTCTATAGAGAAAGAAAAGAAGAGGTTCTCAGAACTGGAGCCCTAAAGCAGGTGACAGTTGGGGAGGGGAGGGCAGCTGCTGAGGGAAATGCTGGAGGGAGGGGCCCTTCATCTTGAGCTTGCTGAGCCTTTGGTTTCTGTGCAGCTTGTTGGTGTTTGTGGAATTCTCTTTTGCCCTCAGGTCATAGGAAATGTCTTGACCATCCCTGCTCTCAACCCCCACTGTCTGCCTGAAATAGCCAGTGCTGTCCTTCCTTGACCTCTTCTACTTGCCCCATTCTCTGACCTCATGGGCTATATGTTAACTCCCTTTCCACCTCATTCCACTCTCAAAAGTTTCTGATGATGAGAACTCTTGGGCCTGTGTTACACCCAGCTGAAGTAGTGCCCCTGACTGGTTGGAATGTGAAGAGTCCTTGGAGGTTCCACCCCTCACCTTCCTGGGGCATGAGCTATTGTCAGGACAAAATCTTCTTCCACAAGGAAACCACCACAGATTCCCCACATGTCACCATGAAGAAATACCACAAATGCCATGTATGGACGTGAATGAGGCCGTGCTTCATGACCTCCAATGATGTCTTCTGGGGGAAAAGAAAAATGGAAGATGGGAGGATTGGGCATCCTACCTGATGATCGAAGACAGGATCAGCTTTGCTCTGTAGTTGTTGGGACAATTTGCCCTGGATTCTCCCGAACTCAATCCTTATTGGTTTGATAACATGCCTTTCCCTTCAAATCTCAATGGGCCCTCCTAAACGCTAATATTGATTGTTCTGCACATCTCATATTAGACACATGGATGGTGGGGAAAGAGCTTGTCTTCAAATTGGCAAAACCCCAAAGAATCAAAAAGAAGAGTCCTTGCTTTTCTGATTCAACCCAGCCAGCTCCTACAGGCCTGAGTGACTCACCAGCTTGGCTATTCCAGTCCTGTTATCCCAGCAAAGCAAATGAAGGGATTCTCCTATTACTAGTAAGAGTCTTCAGATCCCATAGATTTCAGAAACATCGTTGTCCCCAGAGCTAGGCCAGGCTAGTGTTAAATCTCACCTTAAAGGAAGGCATCTTTTTCTTCAGGTTCACCATGCACAACTGAAAGGCATTGAGTCAGGGTAGGGCTGGTGCTGAGGGGAAATGCTGGAAGCCTTTGGCTTCTCAAGAAGAACATTGAAGGTAAGCAGTTGTGGGATTCTCTTTAGCCCTCAGTTCATATGAAATTAATTGATCCATACCTGCTGTCAACCTCCAGTGTTTGCCTAAAGCATCCAGTCTGGTACCTCTCTGATCTTTCCCACTTGCTCCAACCTCTGCCTTCATAAGCTACATGTTGACCTTCTTTTCACCACCTCATCCTGCTCACTAATGGTTCCTCTGATGAAACCCCTGGGGCTTGTGTTGTAGACAGCTGCAGGAGCTTCTCTGAGGAACAAATATGGAAATAGAAATCCTTGTAACATCTGCCCATCATCTTCCCCTCCAGTGAACTGCTGTGAGGACAAAGTCTTCTCACACAAGGATATCACCACAACTCTTCTTGACTTCCCAGTGAAATGAAAAATTGTCATGTATGGACGTGAATGGGGCATTGCTACATAAACTCCAATGATCTCTTAAGGAAAAAACATGGATGATTAGATGATTCTGACATCCTACATGATGACTGAAGAATGGGTCATCATTGCCCTGGAGATGCTGGAACAGGTAGTTCATGGTTCTCCTGAAAGATGGGTTTCCGGCACAGGGACCCATTCCCACTATCAAATCTCAAACAGTCCCTCTTAAAAGCTAATAGTGCTTGTTCTGGACAGTCCATATTAGGCACATAGATAGAGGATTACATATGTTATCTTTAAGATGGCAGAGTCATCTTAAAGCATCCTGGATAAACATGCTTGGACAATTCTGTGTTTGTTTCCAGACCTATCTGAGCCTCTACTATGTTTTTGGTGTTTTCTAATAATATATCTTTATGTTTATAGAGTTAGAATGTTAGAAAAGTCTTAGGCTTTTCAGAGCCTATTACATCTTGGAACTTCATGAAATCTTTTTATGATTGTATCTTCGAACTGGTCCCAATAAGCCTTTGCATGAGGCTTGGCATGGATTATACTGGTGGGAGTCAAAGGCAAAGGACTGTCAGGAATGTTGAAAACAAAGAGAGTGGAGTAACCAAAGCCTGGGAAGGCAGAGGAGGCAGAGTAGCTAACTAGAAGTAGACTGTAAAGGAGATTAGATAATATAAATTCTTTGAGATAAAATTGCAACTTGGCTTTCTCTCCTGCTCAGGTGAGCACTGAACCTGGAGAAGGATGTCAAAGATAAATGATTTTGACACCACTACTCTAATAGCACAAATGTTGTTGTTGATTATTGGCTTTGAGTTAAGCATGTCTCATAGCGACCTCATGAACTAAAGACCTGAAGACCCTCTACAACTATCGACATTTACCAAAGCTTATAGAGTTTCCAGATTCATGTTATTTAGGAAGTGGATGCCACTCCTGCTTTCAAATCTGTCATAGTATGTTATTGTTGCTATGTGCCATTGAGTTGGCTGCGATGTATAGCCACCCTATGTACAGCAACTCTGAATGCTTCCCTGTCCTGAGCCACACTCACATCACAATTTCAGACACTCTATTTCTCATTGCACCAGTTACTGTATCAATCCACCTCATCTATGGTGATCTCCCTCACCAATGCTGTCCGTCCACCCTTCTGAGCATGATGTCCATCTCCAAGGACCCATCTCTCCTGGCCACGTGCCCAAAGTGAGACAGAGCTTCAACATCCTAATCTCCAAGGAGATACTTGGTTTCACCCTAAGACAGACCTATTTGTTTTCTTGGCAGTCTGTAGGACGTTAAAAACTCTTCTCAGAACGACAACTCGAAGGCATCTGTTCTTCTGTCATCCATAGTCATTGTCCAGCTCTCAGAAGCATAACAAGTAAATGAGAAGACCATGACCTGGATTAGGTTCACCTTTGTATCTACACTGACATCACTGCTCTTCAGGACTCTGGAGAGGTACATGACAGCAGATTTTCCCAATGCAATTTGTATTTTGATTTCCTAACCTCTGGGGTGAAGAGTTTTGATTGTTGATCCAAGCAAGCTGTAACTGCTAACAACCTCAATCTCTTATGCATCTAATATGATGCTGCCCATTGGACTAGTGGTGAGAATCTTTGTCTTCTTGATGTTGAACTTCAAGCCATATTGAAGTCTGTAGTCCTTGACCTTTTGCAGTGAGTGCCTCAGGTCTACTTCAGTTTCAACAACAAGATTGTGTCATCTGCATATTGTAGGTTGTTAATGAGTCTTCCTCCAATTTTGATGCCACACCAAGAAGCTGTTGTTCAAATGGAGCAAAGAAACACTGAATGGTTTATGTAAGGAAAGTGCGTGTCAGGATTGTATGCTTTCTTCATATCTATTCAATATGTACGCTGAACAAATCATTCCAAAAGCTGGACTGTATGAAGAATAAAGGGGGATGAGAATTGGAGGAAGATTCATCAACAACCTCTGGTATGTAGATACACAACCTTGCTTCCGAAAAGGGAGGAGGACCTGAACCACTTGGTGCAGAAGATTAAAAACTACAACCTTAAACATGGATTGTATTTCAACATCATAAGACAAAATTCCTAACCAGCACACCAATAATCAACATTGATAGATGGAGAAAGATTGCAGTGGTCAATTAATTCCTCTTACTTGGATCACCAGCAACACTCTTGGTACCAGCAATCAGGTGATCAGAAGACACATTTATATTGGACAGGCGTGCTGTCAGAGATCTCTTTAAATTATTAAGGAGCCATGATGTCAGTTTGAAGAATAAGATGGGCCTGATTCAGACCATGGTCTTTCAAATCACTTGCTATGCATCTGAAAACTGGACAATCAATGAGAATGACAGAAGAACAATTAATACTTTTGAGCTGTGATGTTGGAGTTGAGTGATGAACTTTTGGACTGCCAAAATATTCAACAGATATGTCTTGGATAGAGTGTGAATATAGTGAACATTGCAAGAAAGGGAACAAAGCTTCATCTCACATACTTTGGGCATGTTGCTAGGAAAGGCTATATGAAGGAGAGGTACATCATATTTAGAAAGGTAGAGGGTCAGCAAAGGAGAGAAAGACACTCAACAAGGTTGATTTGTGTGACTGTAGCAATGAGTCCAAGTGTATCACAAATTATGATGATGGCACAGGATAGGTCAGGGTTCAGAACTATTATTCATAGGGTTGCTATGAATGATATTGAACTTGGAAGCACCTTACAACAGCACTGCAATAAGATCCACAGCCTAACTATGCACATCTCTGGATCCACAGAATGGAAGGAGTTGTGCTGCTAACCGTGAGGCTCCGCATCCCTGGCCATTGAAATCCATCCGTGTCCCTTTGGAAACAGATGGGGTGATCTCTTCCCATGCAATTTACAGCGCTGAAAACTCCCTGGAGGATCAGATAGGAGTTGGTTTCAACTCCACAGTAAACACTTCAGCTTTGCCTCTAATAATAAGCTTAAACATGACAGCAGTTTTTATAAGGATAGCACAGGACCTGGAGGTATTTCCTTTTATTGTACACTGCACAACAAACTCAAATATACTTAAAACAACAGCCCTTATTCTTTGTGTTTTAGCCTCATTTTCCTGAGGTAGGGTAGTGGGTAAGAAGTTGGACTGTCAAACCAGATACCCTCGGTTTGAACCCACCAGCTGCTTCAAAGGAGAAAAATGGGAAACTCCTCCTGTGCAATTTATAGCCTCTGAAAACATGGTGGAGAGTAAATGATGAATTGGTTCTGACTTATGAGCAATGAATTGTTGTTGTTTAACTTCTTGGCATGCAAAAAGGGATTTTAGTTACTTACCTCCATATCTTCTGCCAAATGACTTTGTAAGAATAATCTGTTTCCCAGGAAATCAGGAGAAGGTAGTGGAAGGTACCACCTCGTAAGCCTTTAAGTGGTGTCAGTACTGTTGTGATTTCACCTCAGTTGGGGAACTGTGACAAAAAGCCAGGATAGTCTAACACCTAAGACAGTGTCCAGGGTGTCTAGTCATCCTTTTGGAACATCTATCCAACATGAGACTGCTTAGTCTGGGTTTGATATGGAAGCTGGTATCCATAAATTTTCTGGATTACATGGAAGGAATTCCTTACTAGCACTGGACAGAAGGGCCAGGAGTACAAGTGATTCAAGGAAATAGGCTCAGGTTCTTAGGATGCAGCGGGTCACTCACCTGCTATAGTTCCAGGAAGCAGGTGAAAGGCCAACAGGAGCAGGAGTGGCTGCATCTTCTGAGAAAGGCTACCCAGGCTTATGATGATGATGACTGGACCCAAAATAACAACAGTACAATGAAGATGGTCACACCCAGTGACTTTATATCACACACATACGAATGTGATAGGCTCGTTTGGTTGGGTGTCATCACACAAGTTGGTCTGCATATTTTTTCTGGTTTAGTTAGATGAGAACAACACTGTCACCCCATTTTTAATCATAGCTGCTTAGTCCCAAGCAGAAAACACAAAATAAAGGACAAGAAGATGAAGGTTGCTGAGACTGTGCCAACATCCATTAGAGCTGCTACAATAGGAGCCTGGATCCTTTAGTGGCCGAACTAAGAATTTTCTCCTCCTCTCGCCCCGCCCCCCCCCCATTTTTTTTAAAAATAAAATTTTTATTTTATATTGGTTTACTTGCAAAGTTTGTATATATTATTTTTGTCACTGGATCATTCCCATTTCCTTTACCCACTCCACCTTTAACCCATCAAATTATTTGACCCTATGAGCTGTGGTGCTTTAGAAGATTATTGAATATTCCAATGTTTGCTAGGAGAAGAAACAGGTTCATCCTAGAGAATGTGTGACCAGGCTGATCCTTGAAGGCAAGGATTCTGACGCTTCATCTGACATATTTTGGACATGTTGCATGGAAGGACCAATCCTTGGAGTGGGATGTCACGCCTGGGATGGTGGAGGGACAGCTCAACAGAGGAAGACCCTAGATGAGATGGATTGATTCAGTAACGGGGTAATGAGGGTGGGTGTGTCAGTGACAATAAGATTGGCACAGGACAGAGCAGGGTTTAGGGCTGTTGTACTTAAGGTTGCTATGAGTTGCAGGAGAATTGAAAGCACAAAACAACAACAACTACAACATCAACAACATAATTATTCCCTCCATCCCTTGGATCCTCACACACATTTTACTAGTTATCTTTCTATTACTACAATAATGGTATTATTCAGTATCTCTCCTTATGAACTGAGTTCACTTAGCATAATACTGTCCAGTCCTTCCCAAGTTAGGTAGTGATTTTCAAAATCATTGCTCCTGCGTGCTGCGTAGTATTTTGTCATGTGAATCTACCATAATTTCTCACACCATTCCCTTGTGGTTGGACATTTGTCCTCATCAAGCTCTGTATCCCATTCTAGAGCCCCACAGCTCCTTGGCCTCACAACAACCTGCTCGCAGTGTGCTTTGTTTCTTCAATTAAAGAACTTTTAAGAGTATTAGCATAAAAATATTTATAAACAAAAATGTTTTAAACTGTACAAATGTATTTTAATTTTATATAGTGAGGGAAAAAATAATTTGTTAACAAAATGCTAAGGGAACAGTAAATTTTAGTGTTGTGGAAGGAGAAAAGTGGAGAGCAAAGAAGGAATGAATATTGGGGACTTCAGGTCAGTTGGCACTGTGATGGCAGAAATTACCAAGATCTGCTAGTGTTGACATTGAATGTCCCATTTTCAGGCAATTGAGATCCATGATCTAATTAATAATATGCCCATAATTTATTACAAAGAATATAAGTTTTTGGGCTTAATGATGTCTTTCAATAAAAGGGTATAAAGGGAACCTAAGGTGACACCCCACTGGAGTGTCAGGAGAAGGGCAGGACTGGCTGGCTCCCCTGATTGGGTAAAGGATAAGCAGCGGGGTTCCCAGAGAAAAAGAGGCAGAGAGACTAAAAGGCAAAAAGGTATCCCTTTTTTCTCTTTTGTCCTCATGAGAAAATGGTCTGCTCTCATCATGGGCATCCCCAAAATCAACAGAAACTGGCCTAAGTGGCAGACAGATTTCCTGTTCTGGAGCCAGAAGTTGGTTTGTTTTTGTGTGTGTGTGTGGTTTTTTTTTCTTTTTCTTTTTTTG